GAATGATTTGTTCTAATGGTGTTTGTGAATAGGCTCACAAGTCCGCATCTTGTACAGCAATTAACCACTGGGAAGAATATATGCAGTGTATTATTTGTTGAAACTGTCCTTCCGATTTGATTTGAAACTGTCTCATTGCTATCTCTTTGTCAATAAAACTTTGAAAAAAAAAAAAAAGAAAGTAGAAAAACACAAGGAACTGACATTTGAAGCTTTGGGGCCAGCTGTCTCATTTTTACTCTATTGCTCTTTCCAAATTTCTCTTTAGAAATCAGGATCAGGCTAGGCTTCTGTACAGCGGAATGCAGGAGCTGGTGCGCTAGAAGCCGGAAACCCCGGTCTGCCATGACGATGCTCTGAGCCTGCTCTGTTTGAAATGCATCGTGGGATTCCACAGCCCTGGCTGCCTGCTCTTCAGCCGATACGGGTGCTGCAGGTGTCCTTTCTCCAATTAGATTAGGACCTCCGTGCTGAGAACAGTGTCTGGCGTAAATGTGCTCAAAAGTGCTTGTGAATGCATCGTCTAAAATTATCCGCTTGCCCCGGAAGCCATCCGGGAGCGTCTGCCTCTCTTCCTGGCCTCTCATTCGGGACACGAGGACATAGACAGCGGCGGTAGGTCCCCGCAGCTGATGAAAGGCCCAGGCGGCGCTGGCTGCTTCCTGCCTCCCAGCGGGCACCCTCGCTCGGGTCACTGTTCAGCTTTTCCTCACAGATCCCAGCTACTGAGAGAGCTCCTCACAGCACTGGTGTCACTGGCGCACATGGCTTGCTACTGCGTTCCTAACCGCACAGCATTGAAAAATGAGTGTGTGATTTTTAGGTCCTTAACAGCAGCCTGTCGGGCGATGCAGAGCATCGCCTTGCTATGTATTTTAAGGTTTTCATTCATTTAAAATTTCCTCTCATTTTTATGACATCCTTTCTTAAATTAGATGCTGTGATAATAATAAAAGCTTGAGAACATGTAGGTGGCTCTTGTCAGCTCTCTGGAGCTTTCATGTGCGTTAGTCCGTCTTCCTCCTTCCTGTGGGCAGGAAAGGTTTGTTACCCACGTGCCACAGCCTGGAAACAGGTACAGAGAGGGAAACGATTTCCCACAGGGTCACAGGGAGACGGTGACCGGCCGGGATGCAGCCTGCACCTCCACCGCTGACCCCAGTCCATTCTGGCCCCTGTCGCAGCTCCTGGACTCTGTGGTTGATGGGCAGTGTATGTGACAGCCTGGGGGAGAGGCCAGCAAGCCCCTCCCTGAGCCAGGACTCTGAATTTCTAAAGATAAAGATGCAAATTTCACCTAGTAATTTGGGGGAGTAAGAACAATTACGGCTGGGGAGACAGCTCATTTACAAAAGTGCCTGTCTGGCAAGTGCAAGGTCCAGAGTTCAATCCCCGGTAGTGGAAGAAAAAACAAATCCTCATCATCACCATTGTCTGGTGAGTGCTGCAGACACAGAGACCCTAACACTGCCCCGCACTGGAAGGCTGCGCAAACCTTCCAGGCAGAGGTGGAGAGCACAGCCGGGGACTGGAAGACACTCCCTACCCCCGAAATTCTTCGCTGGAAACCTTCTCGAAGGCAAGTGAATGAAACCACAGTAACGTGTGCGTGAGAGTCCTGCACTACACAGCTGGATATGAAACCAGAGAGGGCTGAGGGCCCGAGGTGAAGCCGTGATGCTCTGAGTGTCGTCCAGAACGCAGCTCTGCCAGAGGGAGGCCGCAGAGTAGGGCACCCCAGCTGCCGGCAGAGTGGAGCTTGTCGCTGGAGGGAGCACGGTGCCCCTGCCTGATGCTCAGGTTTGTGACGAGCACCGGCGCAGGCTGAGTGCAGGCTACGCCGATGCTCGGGGACTCTTAGCGGTCACATCACCAACGCAGTTGGGGGCCATCGTAAGTTGGAAGGCAGTTACGTGGCTTTGAGCCTTGCTTGTAGTTACACTGGCCCATGAGCAGAGGAGACGGAAACAGGCTGACACTCAAAGACGCTCAAAATACGTAAGTGGAAGATGGATGTCCCAGCATGGCCGAGTGTGGTCCCTTTAATTCTACAGGCACAGACAGTTGATGGGCGCAGGGCCCCATCAGAATGTGGGTGGCCTCAGGCAATCCACAACTAAAGGAATTGTTGAGCGCCCTGGGTCTCTTCCTCTAGCACACAGCTGTGTTAATGTTCTCAAGGGCAAACTTTTCATAGATAAAGAGACACTGCAAAACAGGGATGGAATCCCACAGAATGCTTGCTGTGGGTAGAGCCAGACTCCGGGCTCCTGGTTTCTATGGAGACTACAGGACTCTGGCTAAGAAGGCACAGGCACGTTTTCTTCCTTGCTGAACCACTGGTCACCGAGGAAGGGTGGCCCCAAGTTACATCTCCAGGCTTGTTGTACATGGCCTGAGAAAAACAGACAGAGCTGCTGCAAGTTTCCACTCCTGAGAGCTGTGGGTAAGGAGCAGGGGCCAGCCCAGGTGAGTCTGCAGGTGTGTGTGGGCTCCACCTGGGGTATCAGCTTGGGTGGGGACTCCAGGCACCACGTTCTGGAGACTCGCAGACAGTCGCCCAACACCACTCCCCAAGGACTCTGCTCTTCATACAACCCAGCTTTCTGGAACACAGGTGGTTCTGGAAAGCTCTGGGCATTGTGCCAGAAAGCAGCTCCACTCCCCAAAGACACGGACAGCGTGGAGACAGAGAAGCAGAGTGAGGCAGGGCCTGTACTCAGAGCATGCTCTTTCCACTGTTTGTCTCCTATGACTTGTGCTTTTAATCTGGGGCTATAACCACATTTTTTATGCTCTGAGAAAAAATATCAACACTGAATAAACACAATCTGGAATAACTGTCACACACAGTCACCCTGGAAGCCACTGCAGTGGCCAAGCAGGGTGCAGCTTAAGCATCCGAGGCAGGGCCTCTGCTGACAGCCGCGAGTCGTGGCATACTCACACATACAGGACGGATCTGGTGTCCCCCACTTTCCCGGCGTCCCCCACAGTAAGCGTATCGTAACCCCTCTCCAGCTCAAACTCTTCAAAGGCCAGCTTGATGACCTAAATGGAAAACACAGGAGGTTACTTGTGTCTTGGGAAGTCCGTGACTTGTAGCTTTGCAAATCTTTACTGCTGTGTTAATCTCTCCCCGATCCCAGTGGGCTTCAGTGGTCAGAAGCTGCTTTAATTAACTACATGGACAATTATGTACACATTAGAGTCCTTAATTAACAGAACTTTGAGGACTTCAGAATTTCTATTCTTTTAAATTATTTCGTTACCACATCTGAAATGGAATTTTATGTACACGTTAGGATAAAAAAAGCCATCGTTTGTTTCATGTTTAGGTTATTTGGATTAACTAAAAAAAAACCCAATATAAGCTAATGCCGAAGTGGTAATTAGAGTGAAGGAGTTACAACTTGAAGATACTCAAAACAGCCCATGATAAATATTGCTGAAGTTTTCTGTGTGTAGATCTCACATAATTATCCCTATTAATTATGGAAAAAGTTTTCTGAGGATATAAGTTTTCCCCTACAGCATTTAGTGTTTGAAGTCTTAAACTTTCTTTTTTCTTTTAAAGAAAAAAGAAGATAAACATAACAATAAAACCAAGTTTCAAAACAGGTTAGTAGGATAGTTACAATGGTTGATACATTGCGTGCGGTCGTCTTCCTGCTAGTTGTTCAGAGTAGAAGATATAGGCGGGACGTTCTGTCCATACGATACCAGCACAAAGCTTTTTTGTAATGAACTAAGAGAAACTAGCTGCATAACTATCTTAACTGTCTTATACATGCACATATTTTTTCTTTTTCCCCTTTCTTCCTTTCACTTTCCCCCATCAGTTTGCCTGCCTGCCTGCCTGCCTGCCTTCTTTCCTTCCTTCCTTCCTTCCTTCCTTCCTTCCTTCCTTCCTTCCTTCCTTCCTTCCTTCCTTCTTCCTGCTGTCAGAGTTTCTAATTCAAGGTCTTGTGTTTGCTAGGCTATCATTCTTCCACTGTTATCTTTCCATCTCTTCAATATATAAGACTTTGTCAAGATGATCAATACTGTAACATCTGGGCAAAATTAGTTCATATTTGATGTCCAATATATCATAAATCTAAGAATTTTTCTTTGTAGAGAACAAAATACTTTCTCCTGAAAAAAAAAAAAGACTGTATTGATGAATATGGTTACCTGTAGGTAAAGAGAGTCAAAACTGCCTTGAAAATAGGCTAGAGCCCTGGAAGGGAGGGAAAGGTGTAGAAGACAAGGACGCAGAGAGGTCATGTTAGAAAGACATAGAGAGGGAGGGAGAGAGGGAGGGAGGGAGGGAAGGAGAGAGAGAGAGAGAGAGAGAGAGAGAGAGAGAGAGAGAGAGGATGATTGACCAATAGATGTTGGGTGGATTAATGAATGACTGATAGATGCTGGAAGATGACCGTAGGTAATACCAGTGCAGGGATGACACGCAGAGGGCAGGCAATGGAATGTCTGGATGAACCCATGAACAACAGGTGATACCCTGGGTAGGTAGATGGTTTGGTCAGGGAGGCATAGAAGGATGGCTGAGCGAGTTTGAGGCATACGCTGACAGACGAGGAAAGGACATGGGCAGAGCAGGAGCCCCAGGTTGAAAGCACACTTCATGGGTGCCATTTCTAAGGAAGGCCCAGATGCTGCTGTCTGGTAGAAAATTATCAAAATTTCAAGTTTCTTCAACTTGAAAGGAAAGATTTGGTGGTGCTAGGGAAAGGCAGGCTTCATGCAGGATCAGATTCACCATGCTCACTTCACAGGCGCTTTGCCAAGCAGTGCTAATAAGGAATGTGTTAGTTTTGCTATTTGAAATTCTTACCAAAATTAGTGACATAACCACAATCTGTTATAAAAACTAGTATTTCCACTCACAGTGTTTATATGAATGCATTAACCTATCAACCTGCCTAGAAACAGGTGTAGGTTTTGATCACTGCTGAAACCAGTATAAATACTGCATATTAAACCTAGCACCTCCCAATAGTTTTATTTATAAGTGCCCATGGTCACTTATAAATTAGAAAATGAGAACTAGAGAGTGGGCTCTGAGGTCCGGTGATTTCCTGCTGCTTCCTAGCTTGTTCAGTGCCTGGTGGGTGCTGTCACTGTTCCTTAGGGCTTTGGGGTCAGGTGTTGGATCCGTAAGGAGTGACGAGGGGTGCTCTGCCTCCACACACAAGTGGCCGCTCCTGGTTCTCGCAAGCCCAGGCCAAGACGGCCAGCGTCCCCCAGCCTCAGGCTCCACGGCAGCAAGGCTCTGCCGCCTGCCTCCGTGCTGGTTAGAGGAGGACCTAAAGGCTCAGCCCTGGGTGAAGCCCCTTCCACTTATCAGGAAAATGCTGTTCCATTAATCCACACAGTGGAAACATACATATGAAGCTGCAGCCGGATCAGTGAGAGGCAGAGGAGAAGGAGACAGAAAGTGGAGCTGGTGGGTGATGCGCACCACGTGGCGAAGGTCATGGTGGTGTTCATGTCCCTGCTGCCTTGCGCAGACTGCCTGTCCTCTAGCTCTCTGTGCAGTGTCCCTGTGGATTCTATGCAAAGAGCTCCCTCCTGCTCGGCCCCTGCTGCAACCCTCAGGACAGGTCCCCGGGACCCCTGAGCTTTGAGCCCTGCCTGCCTCAGGGACATCGAAGAAGCCCCAGCCCCAGGCCCCTGGGCATCTGCTCCGCAGGCCACCAGGAGATGCAGGGACAACTCTAGACTCCAATACTGAAGCTCATGTTGAGCATCCAGATGAATTCAAAATAGTTACAGCACTTCCCACTTCCACGAGAAGATGGCGTAGTGAAGCTGAAGACCTGAGTCCCGGAGCTGGGGGGGAAGGTCTGTCTGGAGGTCGGGGCCATTTGCACACAGCCTCGGGCTCACAGCGCTTCCTGGTTTTCCCCATTCTCTGGGTCCTGGTGCTGTAAAGTTGGTCTGAGGAAGTCAGACCTATCAGCTCCATGTTGGGCTAATGCCAAAACCTCCCTGCAGCCCGCCAGGAAGACTGTGAGTGCTAATTTTCTGTGACTTGTCCTTATGTCTTTCCATTACAGCTGCTGTCCCCGCGTCCCCCACTCACTCAAGCTCTCAAGGCAAGCGAACGTTATCAGATGCCCTCCGTGGTGGACAGGACACTCACAACACTACCATTTCGAAAGCACATTTTCCACATAGTCACCAACATTCAGGTAGATGACTGCATATCCAAGAGGGCCAGGAAAAGCCCCCAAGTGCCGACTTTTCTCAGTACAGAGCCTGGAGTAGGACCCATGTGGCCATTTGCATTGTGTCGCAAGTATGATTGTAATTGCAGAAGCATCCAAAGGAAGCAGCGAGGGCTCGGAAGGTGCGCCTTCCACGTTCACACGCGCTGTCCCACTGTGCGGCCCCGGGGGAGGCACACGCCAGTGCCAGGGACAGCTGCGAGCCTCCACCCCTCCTTCCATGTCTCTGCCACAACTCTCAATGGCCCGAACTGCAGGAAGGAGCCATTTGTTGTGTAGAAAACGTCAGACCCGAGAGCAAGGTGCTGCGCGGGGAGAGAGGGGCACCACGCAGCCTGGAGAGATGGGGCTTTCGCTGTCGCGCTGTGCTGCTCTAGAGAGGGAGTGATCAGGGCAACGATGCACGATTTTCAAACAAGATAGAAGGACAGTGATAATGGCCAGTGCACTGTGCTCTGCTGTCTGCAAAGTAGGTGCTCAGATTCCAGTACACAGGCATGAGGGCACACCCTCCACGCTGGTTTCCATAGTGGCTGCGCCGGCTGCACGCCCACCACCAGTGGAGAGGGTTCCTTTCCTCCTGGATATCTGCAAGCATCTGTTATTGGTTGGCTTCTCGAAGTAGATACAATATCACCTCTGTTTTTTTACATTGATAATTGGACTCAGGGTGAAAGATTTGCCAAAATGCTACACACCAAGCGTGATGCTCTTAGGCGTCATTTCCTGTGAAACATAATGAACTGCGTATGCCAAGTGCATGCTATTCTTAAGAATAAATTATGCGATAAAATAATAGAAAAAGTAAGCCATACAGTTCAGTTATTAGCTTCTGTCTTGCTCTCAAAATTTGAATAATCTATTTTAGATAACGAATGCAAAATGAATTCTACCAAAAATAATAAACCAAACCCTCCCACCTACACGTGCTTTCCTCCCTCCCTAACTTGCTTCATTCCTGTTTGGCAGTCCCCGCTCTGATTCCTCACCGGTTTCTTGGCTTCCTGTTAAGGAGGCTGGGAAGGGTTTAGACGAAGGAAGACAGACTTCTACCTCCTGCGTCAGTGCTAACAGGAGCATCTCTAGCCTTGGCTTGGCGTTTACGACGGAGGTGTCCTGGGAGCCTCAGGTGGGGCCGGGGAGCATTTAGAAGCTGCCTGGACCATGAGTCTCCCTCAGACTCGTTCCTCCCCTCTGCTTCCGGCCCCCATGAGGGAAGCAGCTCCCCTCCCCATGCACACGCTGCCCACCATGCAAGGACTGAGATTCCCAAAACACGAGCCAAAACAAGCCTCTCCTCCTGTAAGTTGAGTGTGGGTATTTTTTTCCAGTAATGAGGACAGTGGGCCACGCTCCTCACAATCACCGGGAAGTCGGTAGGGAAGGCCAAGGGTCCTTCAGAACTGGGTCTGGTCATCTCCCAGGGCCCTCCTTCTACCAGGATTGGGACGTGCTCAGTGCCAGGAGAATGGGCTTTGTTACAGAGGCCCGAAGTGCCGAAGCTTCCGCAGCCCACTGCCGGGATGTGCCCAGGATTCCAGGCCGATACAGCGGTATCTAAAACAGATGTCCAGAACGTCAGCCTGCTAACAGGCCCAGTTTTATGAAAAATCTGAAACTTTAAGTTTCTACAACCAGCCCCAAACAGAATCCCTACGTTTCATTTTAGGGAAATAAACAGTGTGGAACAACTTTTCAGTGAGGCAAAAGTCAGAACTTATAAGCCAAAACATAAAACTTATATTTTTATAGTGCCTTTCACACATGTATATGCTTTTAATCTTCTGATACTTCAAGTGCCTGGCTGAAATATCTTAA